CCTAAAATTAAAAACAACATACAAACCTGACTTACCCCTACTTTCCAGGGAAATGCAAGGCCATTGTTCACATTAGTGGAATATTTGTAGTTTTTTTAATATTTTATATTATTTAACTTGTTATATTTTTAAATAAATATTATCTTTATATAAGAATGATACCAAGTTTTATTTAATGTACCGTTAATTAGACTAAGACATATTCAGCGAAGACAAGCTCTTAAGAGTGTACTTTTAATTCTAATTATTTCCATAAAAATGTCTACTAAAGCAAAGCTTAAGTTTAAAAAATGGCTCTGAATAAACTTCAATTTTGTATTTTTGTTTATATTTGGCTCTTTTGGATGACGAGTTTGCCGACCACTGCCTTATAGTGATGAGTGCCGTGTCAACACCTAAACCGTTGCGGCCACTGACACCCCCTCACCTACCACATTGTAATAAATAAAAAATAAATAAATAATGTTTGTTTAAATAATAATTATGTTTTTTCATTGTAATGATTGGGCCATTCATCAATTTTTTTTTAAAGAAAATAATGAGAGTCATGAGAGAAGGGTGAAATTGGGGAGTTTCATAAGCTTTACAACATAGTTAAAATAAAGCTGCAGAGTAAACAAAAACATCTGGCCTACCATGGTCATAAGATGCAACAGAATTAGGAGTTGTTTTAAGGAGAGTAAATAATTTTTTTAGAAAAAGTGTTGTGTTTTGTCCAATTGTTTGAATTTTTCATAATTCCCATAGCATAGCGAAGTATTGAACAACTGAGTTAAATGGGTATGTACATATGTGTGTGCATTATGCAAGAATGTTGGTTCATTTAGAGGCAATTGTCTTAAAGAATTAAGAATATTTTAACAATTTAAATGCCCTACCATACTGTTAAGATAATTTAAATTAAAGGGTTATAATGTTCGATTATAAATTACAAACTTTTAACAAAAAATTTAAACATTTTTTGAAAAAGAGCAAGATAAATAGTTTTGTTTATTTTAATCTGCATTAAGTAAAGAGATACATTTTTATTAAGGAAGTTTCAAGCCATGATAAAAATAAAAGTTTCACAAGGACATTTTAGATAACCATGCTTGGTCGGCCGAAACGGTCTATATGTTCTCCCATCATCATTGCAACTCTATCTCTTAACTGAGTGTGTTTTGTGGGGATGGAGGGCCGACTGTTCGGTGGGTGGGAGGGTGGCAGAGGGAAGGAGATCAGAGCCTCTGGTATTGACATTTTCCCCAATCAGATAACTCTATCTGCTCTTTCAAGCACATGGCAGTTCTTCGAACCTTAAAATTTATTTGCAAGGCATCGAGACAGATTTAACAAAAGTTACCCCTGAGGTCAAACGGTAAATTCTACTATCATGTAACACTACCTTTCCATCCCACTTTGCAGATCCTGTTCACTTTAACTGTCACCATGACTGGCTGTGACTGTTTCATTCCACAATCGTAAGCAACCACTGATAAAATATGGTTATGGCTTCTCTCGTAATCAAGTGGTTCTGTGTTCCTGATCGTACCTACAAAATCTCTATTATTGTAAAAGATCTTTGTTCCTCATGTTTTTAAAATTCAGACTTTAATAACTTACCTTCATTATCGATGGTAAAGGGTTGGTCGGTAGTAAGGATTTCATACTTGCAGATGTCACCAAATTTTGGTGTGCAGTCACGGTCTGTTGCTTCAACTCTCACAATTTCAGAGTATAGCCTTCCCTCATCTACTTGGCAAACATAAGAGGGCTCCAAGAATGCCGGTGGGTACTCGTTGATGTCAACAACTGTGATATGTACTGTCGCACTAAAACAGATACACCAAATTAACCATATGCGCTATTGGGCTCTGCTTATTTTATTTATTTTTTTATAGTTTGTTTTTCATTAACTACTAGTATTGAGCATATACAATTATGACTTTTTTAAATCTATTAGATCGTGTTGAATTACATTTTGATGAACAAATTTAACCAACACTCAATTTATGTAGTTTAAAATTAAATTCATTATCTTTTCACATTAGTTAGAGAGTAATTAGGAGCTATCATAGTCAAAACAAATAGTAACTAATACTTTGTTTACTTCATTTGTTTACTTTTGTATTATATTTTGTTATTATACCTTTGCACTGATTTATCCTATTTGCACGAAAATTACAATTATGCCCTTCCATTCTGCTACACCTAGATTGTTTTCAGTTTATCTTTTTCCTTCATTAATTTCACTGATATTATTTTTATTCTTAAACCTTTTTTAATGGCTCCGGTCAGGTATTTGAGTGAGTATGACAGTGTCAGGGTAATAATATTACTGGAGGAAGAATAGAGCCAGCGCGAGTCGCCAGGAGACTGAGTGTAAATCTCTCTACAATAGGAAGGGTTCTTCGGCACTTCAGAGAAACAGGGCTTCACACTAGAAAGCATAAGGTCGATCTAGGTCTACGGATGAGAGAGATGATAGATTCATCTGTCATCAGGCTCTACGAAACTGCAGCAATATGGGAAATGACATAATAAATCTGAAGACAAGTTCGTAGTTCGTTTTGATTTCCTCCAGGACTGTACGAAGAAGGCTCAATGAAAATAACCTACGGGCCCGGCCTCTTTTCGTGGACCTCTTCTTACCACAGCTCAGAAAATGGGAACATGTGAATCGGACATTGGAAGATTGGGGATAAGTTCTTTTTACAGATGAGGTGAGCGTTGGCCTCAAATCTTCAGAATGGCCTAATTTCATTTGGGGATGCTCAGTAGAAAGGTATGCCCCATGCTGTATGGTTCCTCAGGTGGCTTTCCACAGTGGGTCATTGGTGTTCTGGGGTGGCATTTCCATGGACCCCTGCACAGAATTGATTGTTGTGCGAGGAAGATCTTTAACCTCACAGAGGTACTTACCAAACATAATTGAAGAGCATTTAGTACCATGCCCTCCTCATCGGTGAGATTCTTAACAATTCTGGATAATGCCAGGCCCTATAGAGCATTGTGGATGACTACCTGAATGAGGCTGGAATTGAATGGTTGGTGTGGCCAGTTCGAAGTCCAAATTCGAACCCAATTGAACACATTCGGGACCAACTTAGTGATGAGTACAATGGTGAAACTCATATCCTAACACCCAAGAAGAAACGGCTGTTCTTGAGGAATGGAAAAGAATTCCTCAGGAGTTTATCAAAAATCTTTTCCAAGGAATTCAAATGCTTTTAAAGTATGTTATTCCAGAGGCATAAATACTCGATATTAAAGGGGACAAATACTTTTTTTAATTTTTTTTTTAAGAATTAGGTAATAATAATTTTCTTTTTAAATATCATATTTTTACAACCAAACTATGTTCGGCATGCAAAATATGAACAAACAACGTAAAAATACATTAAAATGTAAGGATGTTGCATTAATTTTGTCATCAATGTATATTTCACAATGTGGAATAATTATTTATGATAAACATAAAAACCCGTTTTCCAATTAAAATTTTATGATAAAAATGACATTGTTTTATATCAATCTGGCAACTCTCACAGCAGTATGGAGATCAGGATTATTAGGACCGATTAAGGGGCAGGTTCCTCAGAAGCAGACCACATCACTACATTTCAAAATGAAAAAGAAAATTTTAGGCTTTTGTAAGCGTGAAATACGGCCATTCTACAAAGAAATTTAATAAGCAACATTATAAATATGAAAACGGCGCAAAATTTCAAGAGAAATTTGGTGAATAATAACTATAATCCATTATGTTAAGTGGTCTAATTGACGAAATTACTTCTTTCAATTAATTATTCTTTGTATGTAAGGTCTTGGTTGAAATGAAAAAGTTAGTGCCACGAGCGGGATTCGAACCCACGACCTTCGGCTCAATACGCCGCTACTCTAACCATAGTGTAAGTTTATAGATGCAAGTTCAAAAGCTTTTGGAAACCAAAATAATAATAATAATTGAAATAGCAAAAGTATGTTACGACTTGTAGTACAAGTAGGAGACAAAAGGCGAGATTGCGACCGCTCGTCGATGCTGAATTTTTCATATAATGAAATCACATAAAACGTCGGAATTATCTAGAATTCGGAGAGACATCCCGGCTATGATTCGGAATTGCCCGACATGGTTACAAACAGCTTTGTTCTTCGGTCACGTCCACGTTTTTGGAGAATCTTGTTTAATAGGGCAATCGTGGGCGAGCCAACACAAAGCTGGTACGGAAACTAGTATTCATCTTGCAAAATGTCGGTGATTGAATAAATCTACTGGCAAAAACGGTCTCGCTGCTGGAAGGAATCATGGCCACTAAAATGCAGAATATAAAACATGACTATCCGAAAAAAAAATTTCACGCCACACGCATTACGATTTTCCGGGCCGCCGTGCATACCAACTAAGATCGTATGTATACTTCAGATGAAAGTCAACCCGTTTTTGAATAAACCAACCTACTCTATATTAATATAAATAACAAGTAACAGTTTTTGAAACAAAAATGTTTAATCTATAAAAAAAATTATTCTATGCACCTTAACTAGTTAAACTTAGGATGTGAGTCATGCGAAGAATCCCCCTGAGAAACGATACTCAAACTTATGAATCATTCATTTTTAAAGGCTTCCAAAAAAATATAAAGTTTCATACGAAAAGAAACCAACAAGGTCCAAAATAAAGAAATGAGATCAGTATAATTTCTACCCTACTATATTTATATTTTACCTACACTGATCTTTAGACAAGCATACTTTCCATATTTAGTAACATTTTTATAAATATCCAAGTAAGGTTAAGGTCATGCAGATCTTGAAACAAAAAAGGAAATGATTTCTAAATAAATTATACGTGTAAAATGTATTACTCATTAATTTTAGATATAACTTCTATGAATGCCGATATCACTTATACAGAAAGAATTATTTTTCACCAAAAATATGATTTAACTGATAAAATTATACAATTATTAAAATTGTTGTTAGAGAAAGCTCGAAAAAGAAATTACGACTGAAGTAGGGAGCGGTACCGTATGCCTTTCATTAAAAAGTCCATAAAATGATACCTTAAACATAGATTATTAAATTAATCCATATTTGCATAGTGGTCATAATTGACAATATTAATAATTCCAATTAATTATTCCGTTTATCTAAAGTTTTTGGTTGAGATGACAAATTAATGTCACCAGCGGGATTCGAACCAACGATTTTCGGCTGAGGAATTGATGTCCGGGTGGATCGAAGTCACGATAGCTCAAGTGGTTGAGCAGCGGCGTATTAGCCAAAAGTCGTGGGTTCGAAACACCTCGTGACACTAATTTTTTATCTCTATCGAAAAACTTAGATAAAGATAATAATTAATTGGACTATATTATTTAATACTTGTAATACATATATGTATTTAATGGCCATAATTTAAATACTTTCTGGTCTTGTACATTTGGGAAAAATTCAACATTATGTTTTGACTGTTATATTGATGTTAGAAATCTCTTATGTGAAAAATCACTGTTAAATTATGCACATTTGTTAGTAGAAAGGATCACGTATATAAATAACCTAATCAAATTTTTTTATGAATACTTATTTCCACTAGAAACCATTAAGTTAAGTAATCAGTCGGTCTAGAACGTGTACTTCGTCAAACACAATACTTCAAAAATTCCAGGAATAATAATGAAGCTTTTATAATAGTAATAATATATTTGTTTAATGACGCCAGAAAGTTTTGGAAAAACTATTATGTATACACCCTCGTTAGAAATTATACCATTATATACGGCAAGGGGTAAAGGGCATCGTAAAGGGCATTCAACAGCAGAAAATATATTTAATCTTAGGTTTACATTTTATTAAAATTGTGCCGGCACGTCAATAAAAATAAAAAATAAAATAAAATCTCACGAAAATATTTATGCCCATTCTTTTTTTTATAAAATTCAAGTTTCAAGTATGTTTTTGATTCGTCCGACCGCCAACTCCTTTATTGTGAATTTCGAAGAAAGTGATATAATAAGAAACAGTATACACGCTTGAAATGTTATGTGAAAGAGGGGTGGCCTTACAAAATAATTTGAAATCAAAATGGGGTTGAAAACAAGTTTATATTCTTTTAGGGTTTTTTTCCCACTATGGATGGTGGCGTCATGACTGCTAGTATGAATACGCTGATGATATTTTTATTAGCGGACAACCCAATAATCTTACAATGATAAATAGGCTAGTTGTATATGCCGAATTGTCGAACTTGAGGGTAAATTAGTTTAAATCCACATCCGAGGAAAAAACTGAGCCCAGCAAATTGATTGATTTGATATGGTTTTAATTATCCTCTCATTAGAAATAATGACATTCTCACTGTCTGCAAAGTTTCAGGTGTTCAGCACTGTCATGCGCTCCATTACGGGCTATGCGGCACAAGAATGGGGTTTCATTAGAATCGATGAGATAGAAATGTTGAATAGATTTTTCCTTAATAATTGTTTTCACAACCCAAAAATACAGCACATACTATAAACAGGTACCAGGAAAAATAGAATATTTATGTTTGTTTATGTTAACTTTGCTTACAAAGTACACCCTCAAAGTCTTCCTTTAACATCAAAAAGCTTACCCAGAATTTTGGCTTAAAAATCATTTGAAAAATACTTTTTGGCGTCAAGAAATTAATGATTTTTTATATGCATGGGGTAGAAATGAAAAATTTATTATAAAAACATCATTAATTAAAAAATAGTTTATAAAATATTATATCGCAATCTTCATGCCGTGTTCTGTACAAATATTCAAAGATTGATTAAAAGATAATCATTACCTTCAAGGCAAAGCATGAATTACACTTTATTGTAAGGAACATTTAAAATAAATGGGCGTTTATTCAATTTAAAGTAGTTTTTCTAGAGAGGGGAGGTGAACATCGCCCATATTCATCCATTATGTTTAGTGGTCTAATTGACCAAATTCAATTAATAATTTTTTAAAAATATTGTAAGGTCTTGAATGAGATGAAAAAGTTAGTGTCACGAGCGGGATTCGAACCTACGACCTTCGGCTAAATACGCCGTTGCTCTAAGCTATCGTGACTTCAAACCACTCGGAGCTAATAGAGATAATACACACTAACTTTTTCATCTCAACCAAGGCCTTACATAAAAAGAATAAAATTATAAAATATTATGTCGCAATCTTCATGCCGTGTTCTGTACAGATATTCAAAGAATGATTAAAACGATAATCATTACCTTCAAGACAAAACATGAATTACACTTGATTGTACGGAACAATACAACAAACAATAACTGAATATAACAAATATTTTATGTCCAATTTGAACGCAAAAGGTATAAATGATTCTTTTCACAGCTTTTTGGCCCATTGTAAAAGAATTTTAAATTCGATTACTTCAAAAATCAATATTAAGTATGTATGAAATCATAGAATATCTTAACGGTAAATTTATTTTTGTAAAAGCCTGAAGATATCGAAAAATATTATACATGGATTTTTTAAACTATTTATATATATTTTATATTCTAAAATTTAAATGTTAAAAAATATAAATTTTGTAAATATGTATTTATTTTTAGTTTAATGCTTATATTACAATTAAAGAAGCATACATATACATATGTCTATAATGCTCTCACAATCAAGTAGGCAGACTTATATCCATGTTTATATATATTTTTTTCTTTCCAAAAGGTAGATCGGGGATGAGGCCAGGTTAACTATTAAAACACAATTATTAATTGAACTTCGTATCCTTGTCTACTTCCAGGATTTCGACGGGGAAAATTTTCTCACTTTATTTTATTTTACAACTCCAAGGTGAAATTGATCCTCTGCCCTAGTACTTGGAAGAAAATCTGAAGGAGCAAGATCCGGTACAAGGTATCACTATAAGGGTGAGTACAAGGCTCCTTCACCTTACAGCTCGTAACGCCACTTTTAATTGATTAACAAGCTAGAAATAATAATTTCTACCGAGGAGGGGGGTTCCTCTTATCTGATTTCACCAAACAAAACGCTTTTCTAATAACGTTTTAATATTCAAATAACAAAAAATAGTTAATGCAAAATCAATACCACTAAAAAAACAAAATTTGTATAGGTTTTGTTGTTAATGAAGTATTTCTTGGTGTACTTTTTTTTTTTTTTTTTTTTTTTTTTGAACGTTCTAAGCATTATAAAGAATGATTATTTGGAGATCGTGAATTGCGGTCTGGTATGACACAGGTTTTAGAAAAACGTTTTCTTTATCATGCCAACGTTTCGATCTTTATTGAGATCATCTTCAGGGCTCAAAGTGTTTGTTTTCCGTGTAGATGTATCATTCTTGTGTGTCGTGTTGAGAGTGCCGCGTTTGTTGGAAAACAAACACTTTGAGCCCTGAAGATGATCTCAATAAAGATCGAAACGTTGGCGTGATAAAGAAAATGTTTTTCTAAAACCTACGTCACACTAGACCGCACTTCACGATCTCCAAATAATCATTGGCTAACGGTCACTAAACACCATACATTATAAAGAATGTAGAATGACATTTTAAAAATTTGTCATGTTATGATTAATCTTTTATAATTTGATTAAGTGATGCATTCGTACTCAAAAATTTACCTACGGTTCGGTTCAGGGTGTGTAAATGTTTAATAATGTGACTAAATTGATACTAATAAAGAACTTACTTTTCTGATTGTTGTCCAGAACACGAGACAGCGGCGATGTCGAATTTATAATTCTTTCTTTTCTCACAATTCAAGGATCTTCGCGCCTTCAACTCAGCTTCTCCGCCTTCTTTTAGTATTATCTGAAAATATATATCTATGATAATAATTATAAATAATCGTTATATATTGCGTAATTTCTGTGTGTATTTCATCTTCAGTTTGTATTTTTTGTTTGATTAGTAGATTTTCTAAAAAGTAAATGTAGCTTTAACATAACAGAACGGGGCATTTACAAATATAAATTGGGGCGAAGGGAAAAATGAAACGTCTTTGATTTAACGCTGGTACAGGCCAAATTAAACATCGGTAATAATACTGATTTGTTAAAGATTTTATCTTTTCGCACTGTGGTCAGAAACGTCAAGCATTGTTTGCTTTATAGAACTTTAAAGGCAGGACGGTCCAGTGAATCACCCTTTAGACCGCACACCCACATAAATCGGCCAAACCGCATTACACCCGATGGTAAAACCAAATAACTCAGGGTTTAGCATCGTTCAAAGAGTGTTGGCGAACATTAAGCAACATAGTTTTATTCACAAAAGATTATAGGAAAACAGATAATGATATAACATTACTCCTTAAAAGAATTGGAAGCCAAGGAAAGAACTAATCTCTGTAATCAGGGCCAAATTTTAGTCGTTTTCAACACATAAGGACGATTTCAGACAAATGGCTAAATGAATGACATTGTCAAATATATCTGTAGTGAAAAGAACGTGAATTGGTCGATAAATAGATGGAAGTAGGTAGCAATGAAATGTACTACAGACGTCGAAACAGCAAAATCGAAAGGGAGATTGATTCCATGAGGTCACAGAACATATCCCATTCAAAGCTCATTTCTCTAAACCAAAAAGTAGAAAAGTAGTAAAGCTCGCACTTTCACATTTCTTTTCTTACATAGTAAACCTAATTGAATAACAAAATGTAAAACTAAAAATTATCCTTGGAAATTCACTAAATCCTTGAGAAGTCGGAATTAAATAAACTTCAAAAAGAGAACATTTTATACAAAATCTGACACTTTTTATTTTTTTGAAGAGTCAATAACTTTTTTTCACTCCCAAATTTAAGTTCTTTTTAAATCCAACAAGGAAGGAAAGATAGAAATGATAAATGGTAAGCGAGTGTGGTGTTCAAACCTTTTTTAAAGTGATAGTTCCTACTCACAGTACGTTGGTTTGCAACGATCCGGATTTCGAGCCTTTTAGCTCATCAGGTTGTAGAAGTCCTTAAACCTGATGATGAGCTAAAGGCTCGAAATCCGTATCGTTGCAAAACAACTTACTGTGAGTAGGAACTATCTTTTTAAAAAAGGAGGAAGGAAAGATTCGTTACCTGGAATGGTGCTTCCCCGTGGTGTTTATTGACGATGTGAAAATCGCATATCTTTGCTCCGACGCCTCGGATTTTGGGCGTAACTTCCACGATAGTCTCATTCTCTTTGACCAAGCCGTGGTAGCCGGCCTCGAGGTTTTGTAGGGAAAGTCTTGGAACTAAATCTGAAACAAAAAAAAAAAAGTTACTAAGGTTAGCAGAAATAATCAAAACCTAAAAAAATTAAAAATGTAGTGATAATTTTTGTACAATCCAATGGAATGTATAAAGAAAACGTTAAAAAGAGCTAAATAGATTACACGACATTTGAAAAATGGCAAAAAGGAGGGAAAATTCAAAAGGTGGGGTTGAGATGGGAAGTTGGTGTCCGAGTGGATCGAAGTCACGATAGCTCAAGTGGGTAGAACAGCGGTGTATCTAGCCCCGAAGATCGTGGGTTCGAATCCCGCTCGTGACACTGACTTTTTTATCTCAACTAAAAACCTTAATTAAAAGGAAGAGTACGAATAAGGAAGAATAAAAAGGGGATACAAAATAAGTAATATAATAAATTTGCATTATAATTTAATAAAATATAAATATTTATGTAGTTGGTATTATGAACATAAGATGACTACGCCATCAGTAACTTTTTAAACTTTTAATGAAATTTAACTTCAAGAACGTAATAAAATGAATTCCTTGAGAGGAGAATAACTATAAAACACATCAATGTTTTCATTTTCTAATCTAAAACGTTTAAAAATTTAATTTAAAAAATTAAGCTTTTATGGTGTATTAGATTGACAATGTCTAATTGAGGACAAAAAGCTTTTTAAATCACCGAAACACTTCACTGTGTTAATGAATAAAATAAAAAATAAAATAAAATCTACCAACGATTGACATAAAACAAATGTATAATTGCATGTCAAGGCAACACGCCTTTTAAAATTATGTAATCTGTCAAACTTTCTTGTTTTACATAATTTCGTCCGAAAAAGGTAATCTTATCGAAATGTGACTCAGCGAACAGTGGTTTGTTGTCCCAAATGTTACAGAATAACATTATTGCAAAGGGCAACGATCATTTACGAACCTCGTTAATATTCATGCAGGCGAGAGAAGCATTGTACTAAATAAGGGATACATTGATCACGACAGCTGCAGTCATATTTAGCCGGTTATGTAAATGAATAAATTACTGTAAGCCGAACCCGCGGATGCAGTGCGAGTATCTTATCTTAAACGACAACGGATAACTGTTGATTTACAATATCTTAAAGTATGTAAATAAAAATTTAACGTTTCTGGGTCCGCCTGTAAGCAGGTTCTTGGCAAGACTATTTCGTCATCGAGGGTGCAATTTCGTTATTCTTATATTGCTTTTATTAAATTAAACATACTTTTACTTTTTTGTTGTTCCTAAGTTGTTTTAGAATGGAAACTATTTAAAATAATGAAACTTATCAAAGCGCATGACTAGATTGCTAAAGCAGGTAAACTAAATTTTTTTCCTTAAGACCTGGGTATATTACGTTCAATCCACAAAATCGCTTACGCTTTAAGTTCCACAGTTCAATATAGTTTAGGCGAGCATCCGGCCAAGATGTTTATACGTCGTCCTTTTCTTCCTGTGAATTTGTATTAGTTATTCAACAACACGCTCCGAAAAAAAGTCGGCAGCAATTCTTCTTTATCCACTTCAATGTTCTTGGCCATTTTGTTTAAAAAGGGCTTCCGAGCAAGCTTGTAGGGATTTACATATGAACAAACGTATAAAGAGGGAGCTTTCAGTGTTATAATCTTTCCTCCTCAGGGAGTAGAAAAAGTACCAAAGGGCGAACTCAACTCTTCTAGCATTTACATAAGTTGGTTCTACTCGGTACGAAGCCAGTTTGAATGTTGAACAGGGTTCAGAAAACCTCGAAATTTACTTATACGTGTAACGGGTTGAACGCGTTGAACAACAACCATCATCGCGCGTGACAGTTTAAACTTACTTTAACTGGAAAAATATCGTGTACAACAGCCTATAGTGAACTAATTTAAACCCATAGTGCTAGGGTTTTGACGTGCAAATAACTTCAAGTTGGGCCGCCTGAATGCAATGTACTTGATGACTAAACTTCCAACTTGACAACTTCCTTTATGAAACAATTTCGTCTTCGCTGTCACATGTGAGATCCTGCTCGATTGTCTTTTATTAATGCAAACGATTATAATACTCTCCGTCAACATCACAATCTTCGAATAAGTCATTGTGAGTGAAGATTACAAAATAATTACGATCATTATTCAGAAGATGCGGTCTGGTGTGATGTAGGTTTCAGAAAAACATTTTCTTTATCGTGCCAACGTTTCGATCTTTTACAATTAATTAAGGTTTTTAGTTGAGATAAAAAAGTCAATGGCACGAGCGGGATTCGAACCCACGATTTTCGGCTAGATATGCCGCTGCTCTACCACTTGAGCTATTGTGACCTCGATCCACTCGGACACCAACTTCCTATCTCAACCCCACCTTTTGAATTTTCCCTCCTTTTTGCCATTTTTCAAATGTCGTGTAATCGGATTGGATTCTCGACGACAAACGAAATGGCCACGGAGAGCTTTAGTGAAGTAAGTTAAGTAATCTTTATTGAGATCGAAACGTTGGCACGATAAAGAAAATGTTTTTCTGAAACCTACATCACACCAGACCGCATCTCACGATTTCTGAATAATTATCGATTAACGGTCACTAATCACCACACATAATTACGATCTGTGATTTGATATTTTTCCTAGTTTCCCTGGGCCCTTCCTTTCAAGGGCGTAAAGAACAATATAAATTTGATAGAATTAGAGTTATTTTAGTGGGTACGGTCCGCCGGTAGGAGGTCTCATAGGAAAAAATACCTGCGATTTGGGTGTTATCAATACAATAGGAAATAAACTTACATTTAACATATTTATTTTAAACCTCATTTTTAAGCCTCGAATCCAAATCATTTTGAATTGGGCATGTTAACAACACGAGTCATATCGATGATGTCTTTAACTTTATAACAAGGATGATCGTTACACCCACGGGTTGTAAGTCTTATGTGCTTTTTATAGCAGGCCTAGTTGAAAAGGAAGGCATAAATCGAGCTGTAAAACTTTATTATACTAAAAATCGTAAAACTTACATTAGAGCGAGAAAAAATCGTCGATAATAAATTATCTTTCAATAAAAAATGGATTTTGTTATTAAAAAACCTTGAATAATTTTCAAACATAAATTACCATTTAAAAGACCTGTAAAACAAGATATTTTAATTCATAACCTGACAGCAAGAAGACAAAAAGAACCTGTCCGCTCACAACATACAAAACTTCAAGTAATTAAATATAGAAATATTTAAAAAATGAAATGCATTAAATTAAGTGGTTAAAGTAACCAATAACAAGTAAATGATGTTTACATTATATTTTTTATTAATTTCCACACTAATTTACATTTAATTTGCGTAAATTTAGGTCCTAAAGCCAGACCTATCTTAGGTTTTTGGTTCATTATAGTACTACATACAGAAACGGAGAAACAAAAGATATCTAAGGCTGCAACAAACCATTTTGATGTGTCAGCCGTTTTGCCAATTGATCACTTCTGGGATCGCGTCCTTTGTTCCCAGCTAAGACACGTTTAGCACGTTTTCTTGATTGCCATCATTGCAAAATACAGGATACGATAAATGTTTATGCTTTGCAGACACCAATTTTAAACCAGAAAACACCATATAAATAATTTAATTGTTCATATAAGTTATTCATTTTTAATAATTCCTATTATAAGGGAGTTTCGATTTAAAACTTTTACAAAACATGCTTGGTACATTTTGTCTTTCTAGCAGTGAAAAATTAAAGCAAAATTAAGAAGAAAGAAGAAAAAAAGAGTTAAGCCATACACACAAACTATTGATCTATTCCTTAAAGAATTAAATGTCTGAAGGAGTTAGGGCAGAATAAAGTTGGGAACACTCTACCCTACAGCCGGGAACACACTAAGTTACCCGATGCAACGCCACGCGATGCTACCCGATGCTACGCAAATCCAAAGTCCAATTTTCGATAAGGTTGTATTACCCCCGTGCACATCTGCCCGATGCTATGCAACGCTACCCTACAGCCGGGAACACACTAAGTTACCCGATGCGATGCTACCCGATGCTACCCTACGCAAATCCAAAGTTCAATTTTTCATTAGGTTGTATTACCCCCCGTACACATCTGCCCGATGCTATGCAACGCTACCCTCCAGCCGGGAACACAGTAAGTTACCCGATGCGATGCTACCCGATGCTACCATACGCAAATCCAAAGTCCAATTTTTCATAAGGTTGTATTACTCCCCGTACACATCTGCCCGATGCTATGGAACGCACCCTTCAGCCGGGAACACAGTAAGTTACCCGATGCGATGCTACCCGATGCTACCATACGCAAATCCAAAGTCCAATTTTTCATAAGGTTGTATTACTCCCCGTACACATCTGCCCGATGCTATGGAACGCACCCTTCAGCCGGGAACACACCAGTTACCCGATGCAACGCCAAGCGACGCTACCCGACGCCTTGCCACGTTTTGGTAGGGTGTGCACATCTATCCGACGTCAAGCGCACGCCACCTAGTAGCACAGCGTGTATTACAATAATCAGTATCACAATTGCAACGCCTCTTTTGTTCTTAATGCACTATTTTGAGCAAAACTTTGTTACAAATTGTTAGTTAAATTTTATGAGGACAACCATGTAATAAATAGTCAGGTGTGTTCCCGGCTTAACTCTTTCCTCAAGGTTCCACCCTTCCAATCCTCCACGCCGTTTAAAACAACGATGGCCACGTGATCGTAACCCACCCAAAACGAGAGTTCCAGCTCTGGCTAATTAAAAAAATGTATGTACGTATTATTCACTTCAGTTGGAAAATGAAGGCGTCAATACTCCTTGATCCCTCGATACATATACCTACTAGGTACATAATATTTTACCAACGATTTCACACCACACAATCAAGCTTAAACGTGTTCAGTCACACAAGACATTTGACGGGGAAAGTTTTTCTCGTGTTTCTCAATGAGCCGGGACATTACTTTCGCGTCTATAAGCCGGAAAATCCTGTCAGTTCCGTACTTATCTCAATCACGCGAAAAATGAGTTT